CATATACCGCGTGGCATTCCATATCGGGCAGCTGCGTCTGCAGACCGACTATGAAGGGCGAGTGCTCCAATTCGATTGCCTCCCACCTCTCATGTTGAGAAGCCCTCTTGCTGTTTTCCACCCGAGTGCCATTTTCGCACTGCCTGCGCACCCTGTTCTAGTATAAAGCAACCATGGGACGCATTCAATGCATGCACCAGGGCGGTCCCAGTAGCGCCTGCAGGTGATCCACCAACATGTATGCAACCGCATGTATGCAAACGTACAGAAGGCATGACTCTGACTAGCAAGTAAGCATGAAGGGATGACGGCTAGGATAAAAACAAGCCACCTCGTCCTCGAACCTGCCAAGCGGGCCATCAAAATTAGACCGACAACAAACAGGCAGACCAGCGTAAAGACACCGAGCAGGCAGGCATGCAGGCATGCAGGCGGGCAGGCAAGTTTGCCTGCCCCTGCGTCTCTGAGCTGTAAGCGCAACTCGGGTGTTTATCTGCCCTGTCTGACTGCAAATCGTGCTCTGTGCGAGAAGCCCCCTCACACAAACAAACACACACACACATATACCGCAAACTTCCCCCTCGGACGCGGTAGTGGATAGCAACAGCCTGACTAGCAATGCCCCCACCCCATCCACACAGATGTTGGCACACGCTGGGAATCCACGCTGCGTGCCTCTCTCATGCCACGCACCAGGAGGAAAGAGGGGCAAAATACCAGATAGGCGCGCCCACGGCGGATGGCCAGCGCTGGACGACGCAGCGAGCGCAAAGTTGGCAGAAAGGGCCAAGGACGGCAGCAAGGGGCACGGAGGGGGCAGGCACAGCGAGAGAGATCGCGCAAGCACACGCACCCGCGGGAAGATTCGGGCCAGAGGAGATGGGGCCGCCGCAGCGGCCGGTGGTCGTTGTGGGAAAACTCGTTAACTTTGCCTGTGCGGTCGTGGTCCCAGGTCCCGGGATGCGCCCGCCAACCTTGAGCTGAAGGTGCGGGCCAGAAGTCTGATCCAGGGGGGGCCAGCGTCACAAAGCGAGGTGGGAAAGGGTGCGTCACTAACACACGCACACACACACACACATGCACACTGTTTCCTCCAACAGCAGCGCGCAACACGAACGCGTCGAAATAAAGTGGGCAGCGCGCAGATGGGCCACGCTCTAAGCTAATTGGCCACTTCGCGTGGGAACAATCGCACGCGCAAGCACACACCCACGCGCACACACTTTTCGAACAAACCGCACTGGTGAGCCCGTGCGCTTCGAGAGGAGAGGAGGGTAATCATCAGCCCTGCGCTAGAAGGCTCAATGCGACACGACATTCGATGTCGACGCGGGATTACATTCATCAGAAGAAACGTCCTTTGGGCAAGATGCAGGCCGGGGAAAGAAGGCAATTTTGTTATCGAAAACCAACCCAAGTGTCGAGCACAGTGATCCAGCGCAGCAGCATTGCGTAGACATTGGCCCCCGCAGGTGTAGAATCCGAGCACCCAACTGATAACATAGATGGACATGTGCCAACACCTAAACATGACTCCTAATGGGTCGCACGAGTACGCACCAAGGCGCGGCACCTCATGCTCATAGCGAGATGGCCTCATGGTACACGCACGCACACGCACACACGCATCCAAACGTGCAGCGCAATTGGACAGCACCCATCGGCAAAACACCTCAATTGGAAGGGGGCCGGAATTCCAGCGCCAGGTGCATGAACAGACCAAACATACTTACTCATAGGCCACACCTGCTGATCACGGCAGGGTCAAGCGCAAACATAATGCGGCAACACCAATTGCACAACCTGTGTCAGGTAGCGCGCTCAAGTACAGGCCGCGCACTCGAAAGGCTCGGGGCGGGCCAGATCGGGCAACGCAGGAGATGGAGCTGCGGGGGCCAAACGGGGAAGATGAAAAGGACCGGGGGGGGCGTCACCAGTCTGGCGTAAAGTTCCAGTGCCCGAGCGCCGAAATGCGGCCCAGGGCGGCATACAGGCCAAAGGCGACCGGACAGGGCAAGAACGGCGAGGCAGAGGGAGGCGGCGAGAACGGGCTCTACAGCGCGAGCAGAGGGGCGCGGCAGGAGACCCGACAAGGAGATGGAGGAGGAGGCCGTAGCCACGCTACCCCAAGGCGCTGCCCTTTCACTCGTGGGCAAGAGGCACGCCGCTCCACACTGGCGGCCCCAAGGCTTCTGCCTCTGGAGCTGAAGGCTCTAGGCTTCACTCGTGAGCAAAAGGTACGCGGCTCTGAGCGCCCGCGGACCCGATCCCTTCAGCCTCTGGAGCTGAGGACGCCCTTGCCCTTGCCGACGATGTACGAGTCGCACTCGTCGTAGGCGTCGTAGGTCTCACTCTCGCCCGCGCCCTTGATCTTCGGCGCGGCTTGGTTAGTCTTGTCTTGTTCTCAGTCGGGGCCTGCGCCGTCGTGACGCGCTCCAAGTTGACGGACCAGTCGCGCTCGGTAGACTCGCGCGCGCAGGAGGAGTCCGCCACGCAAACGGAGACCACGACCTTCCTAACCTTGTCAGCCCGCACCTCCTTCATGAGCTTCGAGGATGGCTCGAAATCCGTCCTCTGGCTCTTCTTCAGCAGCCCCTTTCCACCTTCTCGGACTTGGAGTCGTTCTCAGTGGCGCGTGGAAACGAGTGTCTTCCAGGATCATCGCAACCTTGCCGAGGAACTCGCACTGGCGCATCTCAATCTGGTTATCGAAGTGGCCGCTGTTGCCGACGATGTCGGTGTCCTGCGCGCAACGGGCGCGCCGCCGCCGCAGCCTCTGTTGCCGCTTGGCCTCCTCCGCGCACTGGGGCAGCGCCTCAGCGCCTCCCCGACGAGGCCAATGCCAGCGACGTTCTGGAGCGCCGTCGTCTCGACGTCGAGTTTGATCGGCCCGTCACGGACCGCCGCCTCGACCTTCGCTCGCAGGACGGGCTTGATGAGGTCGACCCCGCGCCTGGATCTCGTCTCGTGATCCACCTCCTTGTCCTCGACCTGCAGGTTGCCGCCACCATTCTGGGCCACTCGACCGAGGGCCACCACAGTGGCCGCCACCACCTGGCGAGAGCACCAATAAGAGCCTCCGCCTTCGCATCAGCCATGACCGTAGCCAGCCCGAACCAGAGGCGGGGCGAGCAAGCTGCATGAGCAAAAACGGTTTGAGCCAACATGGCTTGCGCCACAAAGGCTACGGAGAAAAGCGTACTGCGAGCAGTGGGCCGCGGCGAAGTGAAAGACGACGAGCAACAAAAAAACAAAAGGACAAAAGGCCCCGCAACGCGGGCGACCGCAACCAGCACAGCGGATAGAGGGTGCAGAAACACGGGAGAGAGCGGGGGAACAAATCCTGGGAGGTCGGTCGAAGCGTAAGCTGGACTAACAAGGATTCAACAGGATTGCACCGAAGTGCGCTCGCGATATTTAGTTTTGCGTGTCGCGGCGGCGGCCCAGGCGACACGCAAGGCCATGCAAACTGATAGCGTGTCGCTCGGTTCCGCGGGGCGGGGGGCTGGAAACGCTCGGACCGCTGACGCACAGGCACTGGGGAAAGGTCAACGTGTCGCGGCGAAGCGTGTTTTATTTTCCTCCAGGCGGGGGCGCGCGCGCATAGTCAAGGGCAAGCCGCGGGCGGCGGCAGCGCAAAGGCCTAGTCCGCGATGGAAAAAGGGGAAGGGTCACGCTCTCCCTAAGTCGCGGCGAAGCGTGGTTGGTCCACGCTCTCCCTAAGTCGCGGCGAAGCGCGGTTGGTCAGAACTGGCTGTGCGACACGCTGAGCCAGAACTCTTGACAGGAATGAAGATGTGGGCGGATCGGGCCAGTTTTCCACCGCGGAGGCACGGGCGTCAACGGTGAGTTCAGCCTCCCAGGAGCCACCACCGGGAGAGGGGGCCCGGAACGGGGCGACAGGGAACGGGAAGGTCGGAGCAGGGCGAGTTGAGACAGCAGCAGCTCAGAATCGGTCCCCGGGCCCCTCAAGGGCCCCTCCTCCTCCTCCTCCTCCTCCTCCTCCTCCTCCTCCTCCTCCTCCTCCTCCTCTTCCTCCTCCTCCTCCCCCTCCCCACCGAAGGCCGAATACTGCTTTCTGAACAAGGAAAAATGGCCAAGCAGAAACTGCTGGAGATCCGCGCAGAGTTCCGGGGAGCGAGCGTGCGGACAGACCGTGTCAGCCAGCGGCTCGCCTGGCTCGTGCCGCGCATCCCTCGGACATGGGCGGGGCATGGAGCCGCGACAGTCCAGCTCATCCATTTCGGGGATGGCGGAGGAAACTTCTCAGAGGGCCCGTGGACTTCCGAGCCCCCCGAGAAGGCCTTCTCCTTCTCACTTCCGCCCCCGCGCTGGCCGCCGATGCAAGGCTCGCCGGCAGGCCGCGGGCTCCGCGCCCGGAGCCGCCGCGGAGGCGGCGGGCGCCCCGGCCGAGGCCCCCCGCGGCGCGGCCGGCTGCTGCCGCCGGGTGCTCCGCGACAGTCCTACCAGGCCGCCCCAACCCAACCCGAAGACACGAGTTTGACCCGAATTTCGGGTTGGGGGGGGCACGGGCTCCATGTGTTTTTGTCCCCATGTTCCCCGACCCCCCCCCCACACTGGAAATCGAATGTAAATTTGGGCCTTCGGGTTGGTTTGGGGTGGCTTGGTACATGGTGAGACACAGAGACCGCAAGCGTAGAGCCCAGGGTGCCGGGAACCAGATGAGGAGGAGCGAGAGAGAGAGGGGACGTGCGGTGGCCCGAGCCAAGTGGACCTGAGCGCAGGCCCTGCAAAGACTGCGGGCTTCCGCCACGCGCCCCGTAGCGGGGACCCTGTCTGGCCGCCCTCAGACCGACGGGGACGCACACACAATGTTCATAAGCATGCGCACATACACACAAACGCACACACACACACACACCAAGTACACCACGTGATTACGTACATCTGTCACTCTCATGGCGATGATATTGCCATTATCTTGACTTGGCCAAAATCTCGCTGGTGCATACCCTTCCCATTCTCTATCACCCCCTCCA